AAATTCTAGGTATAAAATTTTTGTTATGTTATTGTTTATGGGGACAATAGGTTTATTGTGCTTTAAATAATAGAGGATTTTAGTTTTGCTCTATATTAACCACTCGCGTACAAATATAAGCAAAATAAGAAATATTATTGCTACGTAACGAATGAATGCAATGTAACTTTTGAAGAGAGAGCCTGCATCTTTTAAGACTAATAAAGCCTGAACGAGAAATGTATAGCCTTGGCTCGTATATAAGACAAGTTAAGATTGTTCTTAGATCTCATACTCCTAAAAATGTAATAATAAACGTGTGTATACTTATGTATATGCATTAGAAGTTATACTTCTTTGGTGTAATAATTTTCTTTGAGCACTTTAGGGCATTTTTCTTGTCCATTTTAATTATCGCTTCCAATCGAAACGATATAATATATACTAACCATGATATTTTACAATAAGCACTAAGTTTTTTATCACATTGGAACAGTTTTTTTCAATTAGGTTTCTCGTATAAAATCATGATTATTTACTCTGAAAAACACTACGCCATGACAGACAATGCAACTTGTCGATAAAATAGAGCGAGCGCCAACTAGCAGCGTATACTGTTTTACCGACGTTTGAACAGATATTCACGGTGTCGGTTTTTTGTGACGATGTGCGCGCGCATCGTAAAAATTTACTCTCATCATTTTTCCCTAATGTGCCAAAAAAAGGGTATTCAATTCAATAGAATGACGTAATTCAGACCAAATTTCCAATGTTTTTTAAAGCTTAAAACATTACTACATTTAAACATAACTAAGCGAAACAAGTACTCTTTATAATTTACTTTGTTGTCACAAAAAATATTGACCGCGTGCGTAAGACATTACGAAGAAGGGTGGAGAGCGTCACGAAGTCTGCCCGAGGCAATTCCGCACCAAATGTCGTTCCCTACGTGCCCTACAAATAAAGAGGATGGAAACCGCCCGGATAACTTTAGGATCTGTTAGTTTGCAATAAGAGCTTTGTAAGGATGGACGAAATTATCCCTCACTATATTACGCCATTACAATATGACAAACATTTTATATTGTTTATTTATGGCCATTATTTACAATAATTTACCAAAACAAATCTTCCGACTAGTCTTTAAAAATCGACTTGGTGTTATCACTTTTGGAAAAATGTATAATTCAATAAATTATTATTTGCGTGAGACACTGTAGTTGATATAAATTTAATAACGTATGATATAGTATGTACGATACATATAATATAAGAACTGACCAATTCATATGACTAATAATGTAATGTAAAATTAATTTAAAGAAAAATTTGCGCGCCATTGTGTGCGGCAGAATATGCGAACTTACGATTTCCTTACACATTTTTGTACCATATTCTTGCAATTAATTATTATTATGAGATTGTACAAATAAACCTAAAATAACTTGTTAGAAGCCCCGTTATGGTTCAAAGGTAAATGTAAATTATTTTCGCTTAGAATCGAACCCAAGATACACTTTGTGTCAAGTAGACATGGCCTAGATTTAATACGTTTAAAGTCTGATGTAATTAAAGTCCGTGAATATAACATTAAAAGGTAGCTGTATACTGTAATTTAGTGTAATAAAAAATTTATGCAAACATAATTTTATTCAGCAATGCACAATTATCTGTATCTAATGTAGATACGTTCTTGTGTTAAAATTATGCTTCAGATTAGCCGCTGAGGCAACTTCTTGATACAACAGGAACAAGACGCCTAAAGAGAACTAGTAGTGAATATAAGTGCAAATGCGATAGTGTCAACACATTATAGAACACTAAGACTGATCACGATACCTTAGTTAAAGCTATTCATTCTTGTAGAAAATTAAGTCAACATAATATTACTTATTAGCCATAATTAATGTATAGGCTAGACTGTAATTCATATGTTAACGTAAAATTGTAAATACCGTTAGATTGTAATCTATCTCGCGAGATTATAATCTGTCGAAAGATTGTGAACCTCAGCGTACTGCTTACAATTTAACGTTTTATTATTCGGTAGATTCTAAAATATTACATCAAGTAAAAAGGCAAATTTGCAATCTAATATATAAAATTCTCGTGTCGCGGTGTTTGTGGTTAAACTCATCCGAAACGGCTTGACCGATTCTCATGAAATTTTGTGTGCATATTGGGTATGTCTGAGAATCGGACAACATCTATTTTTCATCCCCCTAAATGTTAATTTTTAGATAAATTTTTGTTTTTTAATTTTTTATGATACAGCATTAAAAAATACATACAACCCCTCTACAATCAACCCCTTTTTTATTATAAATGATATACATGGCAAAACGACGTTTGCCGGATCAGCTAGTAAAAATTATAAAAAGAACACGTCCTAGAACTAATTTTACCACAATCGAGATGTTTTGTATTAAACTATTTTAAAGCATGATTTTAACGTCAGCCAATTATTATAAGTGCTCATCTTTCACACCTTGTTGAATAGCAATTCTCCCCTAAGGTTTATGCTTCGCGGCGCAACCCATGGTATCGGTAGTTTAAAGAATACGTCTGATTCCTGTGAAATATTACTTTTTGTCCGCCCCGACGGAGCGGCCATATATTTCAGTCATCGTCTAGAATTGAACGAGCCAAACGTGAAGATTGAGACAGATATCCCCAAATGTCTTAGACTTTAATATTTTAGCATCCAATCAATATTACAGTAGCTTGTCACTATCAGCCAAGTATTGTAAGTACATACACAGGTTATAATAAAGCATATACTAATTTAAATATTTAATTAACTTTCATTGCTTCCTTAATCTATTTTTTTTACCTAAGAAATTAGCAAAAGATTAATCTTTATAAAATTATAAATATTAATATTTTTTTATATCTTAAATAAAACTATTGTGACTTAACGCCTTCGAATCTTAAGATAAATATGACATCGAACATTTCAACTGAAATGCTCTAGTACCATTAAAGTTGTCGATTCAAAAGACCCAGATTTTGTAAAGAACTGAACAAAAGCATGATATGACGAAAGAGCCTGTAAAGTCGTGCGTACACCTACATAGGCAGTTTTAAGTTCACGAGGTCGTAAAAAACATTAGCACGTATTCGGCTCGAGCCAGCGATATTGGGGTAAAAGGGAGAATGCATTGGCTTTTTGTAATGCGGCAATAACCTATGGATTAGGACGCGGAAATCTCACTTTCGGTCCTGTTCCTGTCGTATTTATGCCTTTCGGTACGTTAACGGCTTACACCCGATTCCGGCCTTATTCCTTGGCACTTGAATTGATATAGATGTCGAATTTAACGTAATTTTATGTTATGTAAATCGAGGTCTAGATTTAAATTTAGAAGGATTTAGTAATGTAACGTAAGACGTAAGGTGATTACGCATTTAGGTTGGAAGAAGTAGCTCAAAGTAGTATTTACAACGGAATGCCGCGGCACTTTGCCACACCTCGGCGAGGTTAGCATCCTTGAAAGGCTACATTCCAACACTGACGTCTATTTACGGTCTAAGCCCTCGTTTTCTCCAACTCAGGCCACGTACTAGGCTTTATGTATTTCTAGATTATACCATGAAAACATTGGAATTAATTGAATTTTGTTTAACGAGTTTTTTACATCCTTTTAGGTCAGGCTTTTCTATGAATTATTCATAAAACAAAGATTTTGTTAAATGCGTAACTTTATTGACATTCTACAAAATTGCTTTTTAGAATTAATGAAATGTGTAAATTGGAACTCTTGTCTATTAAATTAGTCGAACAGTTTTTGAATTTGACAAACATTGTTTGCCTAGTCTCTCTCGTCATACTTTTGACCTTGAATTTGACATGTATTATTAAATTTATAACACAATAATGAAAACATAACTTATGTACTATGTGTTGCCACTATATAATTCATGTTATTATGGGCCTTACCTGACAAAAAATTGTGATAATTATTATAAATGACGTAACCTCTACTTTTAGCTCCATACATATTTAACCATAAGATCCAGAATAGAGACTGATCTATGACTGTCGAATGTCAAATCGAATACGATTTTTATAGAACTTTCAGAAGAATACTGTGGCAATGAATGTTATTTATAAATTATTATGTATGTATCTATGAATCAGATAGGTACCCAAATAGTAATCTGTCTGCTCTCTTCCTCCTCTGGCTTATAATAATAATAATAGTAATTAAGCATTTTACTCCTAAAATGTTACAATATTTTTTTTTTTTATGATTAGACAATTGACCTAGTCCCATGCTAAGCTGGTGAAGCTTGTGTTATGGGTACTAAGCAACGGATATACATACATATTATAGATAGATAGACATATAAATATATATTTAAACACCCAAGGCCTAAGCACAACACCAAATGCTCATCACATCGATGTTTGTCTCAGCCGGGGACCCATGGATTCGCAGTCAGGGATACTAACCACTAGACCAATGAGCCGTCTAAAATTAAAATAAAACAAATTCTTACTCTAGTTTTAAAACCCCATGATAGCCAATGCTCCCCGTCCATGTGCCGCCGTTTACAACCCCAACAACGATTATTATTGTCATTATTATTAAAGCTTTATTAAAACAACAACGATGACTGGAAATATAATTTAGAAAATTTCATACCATACCCGCTGATCCTAATCCTGAGTTATATTAAACGTCCGACTATCTACATTACATCTAAAATGACGTGTCGCTTACGCACTGACCGCAATTTATTTGTTTTTGTTCAGCTATCATCTTATGAAATACTGCCGCATAAATATTGGAGATATAATTTTCTATTTCATTAAGTTACCAATGGATTCCTAACAACATGTTTTGTTCCTATGATAAACAAGGATATTTACTTTGAAATTCTATAACCAATAACATGCTACTTTAAAGCAATGATTGGTATGTTTTTCTATGGAAATGTCATCAGGCTTTCTACTCATTAATTCGATATGTAAGACGTAGTCATTATAACAAGAGACCTTCTCAGACCTCAAGAGAATGCTTGTCGGAAAGAAATTTTGCGCTGCTGAGGTAAACAGAATCACCTAAAGAGAATGCTCGCCGAAGCAGTTCTATATGAATGGTATCGAAAATTTTTATGACCCCTTAAATCGTATAGCTCTCGAAGGCTAAATTGAATAATTAAATTCTATAAAAAAATGTTAGCCTACGAAGTTTTTAGCCCACAATTACATAAAATATTCATATTTATTTCTAATATTACCCCATTGACTTTATTTACTATTACCCGATACCTATTTCCTTACGGTAATGCTGTGTTAGAGAGTTTAAACCTCCAGTACCGATTAACCGCACACGGGAAACCGCTACTATTGCTCTTAGATTGCGAGTCTCCTGGAAATATATAGGTATCACTTAACATCAGGTGAGCCTCCTGCCCGTTTGCCTCCTGTTACAATTATTTTACGAGGTCCTGAGTTTAACTCCGCGGAAAGAATATTTTATTAAGAAGTCACACAAAGGGTGTCCATAAAAAGCGTAAAACAGATTTAAAAATGTATTTACCTATGCTCTATTGGGATTTATAGGGCCGGCAATGGTAACGGAATCTCCTTCATTAGAAAAAGGACAAAGATACCTGATATTAAATCTTAACTATAAGTTCGTAATGCCCATATTTGAGTGACACTCTTCTTGAAGAAACCTTTTGTATAACTGGATTACAAAGACTTTGAAAGTAGATATTTAATATTAATTGCGTTTCTTTGTTTCAGAATATCCTGGACAAATTCAATCCAGGCGCTCGTCAGATGATAACAGCTGGAAAGGCGTACTTAAAAGCTCTACATGGTATGTAATATTAGATCTTTTAATAAAAAATACCTCTGTAAATATTTACGAGGTTAACACATTTCATGATATAAATTTATATATAATTCACAACATTAAGATTACGTAAAAATATATTTAATAAATAAATCAGTGGCGCTAAAAACTTGTAAGGTTTGGGCCTCAGATTTCTGTATCTATTTCATGCTCATTTGTCTTATAGGCGAGTAGGGTCTAAGGCAATCCGATTCCCTTACGTTTTCCTTCACCGTTCGAGTTCGTTCGCTGCTGCAAAAATATATTAACCTTATTATAAAAATATCAAACTATTGCAACAAAATCTGTTTTGATTTCGAAAGCACTTTAATACATGCAAATCTTAACACATTAGGGTTTGAGACCCCATCGAACACATTTGTATTGACTCAATGATACATTTTCTTACTGTAACAAAATATTTAAAAAAATATAGTTCATGAAAGGAAAAGTTACCAAAAGACTTTTTACCGTTTCTATCGATTATATAAATAATAAATAAAGTACTTACCTTGATTACAGAATAATTAAAACATAACAGAGTTATTTAAGGAAAATCCACTTCGAACAACACTGTTATACTTTGCGACTAACTTATTTCCATTAAAGATAATAAATATTTAATTCCAGTACTAATTGTTTTTAAGATATTTGGGGAAATCTTTGCTGGATAGAAGTGTAATGAAGGTCCGGTCTAATAAAGAATACATTTTATATTGTCAGTACAATGTCAACATTGTAAATGAAAATGTGAACAATATTGTAAATGGCTTGTAATAAGAAAACTGTATTTGGTTGAAGTATAACAAAAAAATGGATTTTTAGGAATCTAGTCTAACGGCCATCCAATAAATTTATACCGAATTCAAAATATCTTCTGGAAGGAGCTACGTGCCTTACAGCACAACATACCAAATTGGCGTCTAAGTGCGGAAACTCAGTCCACACTACATTACACACACATTACCGAAGTTTAAATAATTATGAGGTCCAGTAACCTGACAATAAACCTTTAAGGTCTGGGCCTCAGATTTCTTTGTACGTTGATCAGGCGGTCGAAGGCATGCCGGTCTCCTCGCAATGTTTACCTTCATAGTATGAGTGGTTTTAAATTAAAAATAAAAATCCATTGGTGCACAGCCGTGATTCGAACGCACAATCTAAGGGTTGAGAGGAGCGCTAAAGTCTCTCATTGCTCTTTCGTTAGCCTAAAGCTGGATTAGTTTCATTAACCAACCCAAGCTTGTTTCACCGGGATTCAAACTGTCCTCAACTAACGCCGAGATTATGTTTATGTTTATTAAGAACTTTATTTCCCATTACAAAAAATGATTTTTGTATGAGATACTTAATATATACGAACGAGATACATGACGCCATCATACAGCCGTCCTAGTTTTAGTCTCATTATGATTCTTTAATGCCCTTTTGAATTGGTCGAACACGCTAATATTACGAATTTTAGACGGTAATTGATTACATAATTGCACACCCTTAACTTAAGACTTTAGATTGCAGATCAATAGGCAAAAAAAGTGATTATTGGTCTGGAATTATTTTAAGGATTTGACAAAGTGATCACAAAATAAAATATCTTAATAGTATTATACATTCATAGAAAAATTCCTCTTAAAATTTTGCGTCGTATAAAAATTTCCACTTTAAGTGCTGTCTTTTATATTGTACTTAAGCTTAAAATATTCTAACTCGTGACTTTAATGGCGTCGCTACGAGGAATATATAATAAAACGTTTAACGTGTAAAGATTGCACAAAAAATAATGACCGTTAAATGCATATATAGTATTTTAATTAATGTTTCAATTAAAATGTGCTGCGAAATTTTAATAGGACGAAACTAAAACTTCCGACATATTTTCGTTAATTGAGACGAGCTCTGCAAACGTTATTAACAGATGGTCAAACGATAACGAACGTTAATAGATAACGATAGTTATTTTTTAAAAGCCTATTACATTGTTAATTATTATTGCTTGAACATTTTAAATAAACTGAAAGTAACGAAAACACCAAAATAGCTTTGGTGCCTGAAAGGCTACACCACAGTATTCATTTCTTTAAAAACCTTATAAACTAAAGAGTTAAAAACATTTTTATACCTTATCGATATAACTACATCTATCTTAAATTTATGGAGTCAAGCAACCACATCCCAGATCTGAAGAATCAAATGATGATGAAAAAATACCTTTTAATTATAGCACTGAGATGACATTTTTTACAGAACGCCGTAAAGTAGACGCTTTTCATAGCTACTTTTTTGCGCGTTAAAATGTTCGATACAAAATAAATACGGGGCTTGCTACGTATTCGAAAGTCCCAGTGTTTTAGCCGAATTTGTCACACAGAAACAAATGAGTATATTACAATAATAATAATAATAATAATAATAATAATAATCAATTTAGAATATGAGTATATTATAATAATCTTTATTATTTCAAGTTAACCTTAATTGTTTAGTAACAATGACAAAAATAATGTACATAGCCAAATGGGTGCATTCCCAATATACATGCAAAACCAGAGCGTAGTGTGCTTGTTTGGCTGTGAAACTGGGGCATAGGTTGTGCCAAATTGTCTCCATGGCTTATCTGAAGTATTATGCCGGGCGCAATAAAGTCACCCATTGTGTAATACTCTGAATGTCTTGTTTACTCACTTTTAAGAGATCTATTACCATTTAATTGTGTCGAGCGGAATTTTTATGAGACAAAGCTTTGTCGTTCCAATTTTAAACACTTATATAATTTATACTAAGTCGTAACTTTGTAAATTCCTTTAGCCACGGAGTTAAGTTAACGGTTGTTTAACGATCATCTACTTGTAAAAATTATAGGGTATCGGTATGGGTCTCGTGTGTTTGCAAGTGTATTTACGTAATGGTTCTGTAACTGCGCGCCTAGTCGCTTAAAAAGCTTAATTTTAGAGACTTGTAAAAAGTATAATATTAAATACTTGATAGCATTTGTAAGATTGGAGAACTTTCGGGAAATTAAATCCTTAGGGCTTAAGGGTTGATAAACGAGCTATTAATCCTTTCATCGCTTCATGTTGAGACCTACATGAAACCTTTAAGATAAAAAGTAATTATTATATTTATGAATAACAACCAATGTTATCTCTAATATATAAAATTCTCGTGTCACAATATTCGTTCCCAAGAACATTAAAACATTAAAATATTCGAAAATAGTCCATACTGCCCCGAAACGGCTCGACCAATTCTTATGAATTTTTTAATACATATTCAGAAAGTCTGAGAATCGGCAACCGTATATCTTTCAACCCCTTAAGTGATAAGGGGTGTCCACTGACCGTGACCACACACACCATTTTAGATTTTTTGTTTTTTGATAGAGCATACAAAAATACATACAACCCCTAATTGTCACCCCTCTACGATCAACCCCTATTTTTTTATTATTGTAGATAGTTATTTTTATTGAACTAAAAAAATGTTTCCTACAAATAATATACATGGCAAAATAAACGTTTGCCGGGTCAGCTAGAACCAATATATGTGTTGCAAATTGTTTAGTCAATTAACCTACATTTGAATTTTGTTTTTTATTTTTTTTAAAAGTCAGGAACTGAATTCAGCGATCGATCCAACGCACTACTAATAAATTGACTTTGACACAATGACAATTTACTACCCGTAAGATGTCTATGATATTGCGTGGTGTTGCGATGCTAATAAAACAAATGAAATCATGTTCTCTTATTACATTATCTCTGTATTGATATATAGAGTTATTAGAAGATTTACAGAAGATGATGAAAATGTATGTTACAGGCGCAGCAGCGGCGTCGCGTATGTATGTGGATGCTGTCGGCAAGTTGGGGCGTCAGGCTCAGCAGGGAACGTGGGGTGGATGTGCTGATATTGGTGAGTGACATACTTTAGGAAACTATACAAATCACCCGCTTTTTAAAACTTAAAAATAAATCTAAAATCGATCCAGGTCACTGAATACAAAATACCATAGATTTTTCTCTAAAAAACGCAACTAACAGTAACTATTTATCTATATATTCATATATTCTGTGTTTATTCTTTACTCCATTTCCATTAATTATTTACCGAATCCTTGAGATATGTTACGCAGATGGAATTTAAGTTTACTCTTTAAAGACTTGTAATAACACAAACATTCCAACTGAATATAAAAGATATTATAATCGATAAAAAACTTGCAGGAACCGCTCTAATGAAGGTCGTTGAAGTGTACCGGGAAATACAAGATCAACAAATGAACATTGTAAGTATACAGAGTATTCCATTCCATTTATTTATGATAGACTAGAGACATTTATGATCAAAGAGGTTTTAATGTTTAGTGTTACCTATATATGTATATTTTTGGACCCTCAAGGAAGTACTTAAAAGTAAAGACTTCCCAATGGTAGCTAAGAAAAAGGTGTTCAATCTATGTATCCTACAATCTGTGTTACATACGGCTGCCAGACTTGGGCATTATCTCAGAAACATCTTCTAAAGTTGAGAACATGCCAAAGAGGAATGGAAAGAAGCATGGTGGGTGTAACACTGAGACATCGAAAAAGAGCAGAAGAGATCAGATCAGCGACCAAAGTAGAAGATATTATAAAGAAAATAAGGCAATTGAAATGGCGCTGTACTGGGCACATGACGAGAGATAGCAGGTTGAAATGGACAAAAATAATTACAGAATGGCAACCATCTTGGACAAGAAGAGCTAATATCAGAAAATAATGGAAACAGCTGGAAGAGGCCTATATGTCACAGGACACGCTGACTACCTAAACGGGTCAAGTGACGTATTAGATTAAGTTTTATTTGTGTATTAGAATTAAGTGTTTTTTATGTAACTCAAATAATTTATTATTATTACATTGTACTGGGTGTCAGCAATAAAGGCTTACTAATAATAATAAAATATATGTATATGAGTTCAGATGTATTTAATAAGTGTAATAAAAGGAAGATAAGTAGTCGTTTTAACTAGAAGGATTCAGCTACGGCGGCTCATCTAAAAGTGACCTACTACTGGGGTGATATTTGAGTTCATACGTATGTATTTACACTTTGTCACCCTCTCTTTAATACCACTCAAACTATACGATCCCATTAGATAGATATATCTGTCTAAAACGGTTGTTGTGCGAGATCAGTGTATGATAGACAGCTTCGTATATGATACGTGATGATTTTAACACAGATTCGGTATCGAACTCGTGTTATGTATACAGTCAAACTTCTAAATCAGCAAGCAATACATACCAATTAAACAAATTTAGGAGGAAAATAAGATCGACATTTTTCTTTACAAATTCCTCGTAAAACATCTGTCGTAAAAAACTTTCTCATTTTTTATTTGCGCGAAAGCGATAATCTTAATTTATTTGTTTGTTACAGTTGAAAGCATTCTACGTCGACTTACTTGTGCCCTTAGAAACTAATTTGGAGAAGGACACAAAAGTGGTGCAGGTACGGTTTTAAATAGTATTAGAAATAAAAAAAAGTGTATCTATGTTATGCTAACAAACTGAATTAAATTAAATCAGAGGGTTCTAATTATATTATATATTTATATAAATTTCATAACACTGATACTGAACTAATGATTCAATTTTATCTAATATTTTTTATCGCAGTCGGAGCAAAAAAGATTTCTACAACAACACAAACTCCGATCCGAGAGTTACAGTAAAGCAGCAGCGACAATTAAAAAGCAACGAAAAAAGAAGACGAACGCTACTAAAGTTGGCTCCGCTATGGACAAGGAAATGAAGGTAAATTAAACAAGATGTTTTTCAGATTTAATTAATCTTTATTACAGATAGATATATAGATAGATAATATTCAAAGCTCTGAGTATGTGACTCAAGGATTTTACGTGTCTGTATCTGGAGGTCCTGGATTCAATTCAATATTAAAAACAGTCAGATCTGTTTCAGTAAAAAAAAGTTTTTGAACTGAAATATTTTTACTATATTTGTTTATTTTGTAATACTAATATGTGCAGAAATACCTATCTATGTTCTATTATTCAAAATTTCTGTTAAAAATTGCATTTATAAGTGAAATATTGAAATTTAGTAATTATTATTTATGTAACTGAAACTTGTCTTAAAGTTTATTTGAACGGCGTCCGGCGTAGAAAGTTACTCATTTAGAAATAGATTAAAATTTAAATGAGCGGTAAATCAAAAAGCTTTCTTAGACATTAAATAATATCTAATAAAGAAACTTTATTAAACGATTTACCTTAAAGGAAGGCTTAAGATAGTAATTAAGGGCTTTTATCGCTGACGTCACACCATAGACAATGCCTTTAGCATATTTAACGTAAATTTTTATTACTATGGAAACATCCACATGAAATCGTGAACCATGTAAAGTACGTTGTCATATTTTGTAATAGGTCAGTAAATACTGTGGGTTATTACACCATCATAAACATAAAATAAAAATTATGTCTATAGAAGTATTATTATCACTTTCAATTATTTTACAAGTTAGCAATAGTATATATATATTTCAACTAGCAGACTCGGCCAAGCTTTGCTGTGGCTAAAGTTTTTGTTATATTACATAGTTGTAAACTATTCAAGGGAAACGGAAGGAGAACACCAGTCATGGGGACCCATGGGGACCATGCTTTTTTGGTGGTTATGCCATTAAATTGTAGCTTATGTGAGACGTTGGTACTTTCAACACAGCGCCATCTGTTAGATTGCGACTATCAAATAATAAACAAATATTTTGCAATAAAATAATATTGCGGGTATAAATTGAGATGTAAGCTATCCTATCTTTTAAGTTAGATCAAACTACACACGGTGTGCACATTTGATTGAAATCAGTTCGGTAGTTTAGGAGTCCATAACGGACAAACAACGTGACACGTAATTTATATATATTAAGATTAAAAAGCGGCAAAATTACGAATTGGTTATCAGAATGCCAGAAAGAAAAGAAATTGCGACATATAAAATTCTGTATAATATGTACCCTTTCCTGTAATTTATCATAGTAAAAATATAGATATAAAGTGAAAAAATCTGAGAGAAAAATAGACGACAAATTTTCTATGATTTTTAGAATCTGTGGACATCCAAACAATTACATTATCTGTGGCGTAGCGTTGCCGATTTGGCGCTTAATAATTGTAATGTTTAGTGAAGACTGTTTTATTTTTTAATCGTTTTGACTTTTTTTACTCTATTTAAGTTGTTGGCGAATAATAATATTCTTTATTATGTTTCAGAGCATGCAAATACTGGAGGAAGAAAAAACTAAATTAGACGCCTTTTGCGAACAAAGTTTGAAGAATGTAAGTACTTTTCACCCAGTACCCAGTCGAATTTAAAAAGTTTCGCGTTTAAGTAAAATCTGCTACTTAGTATATTTTACGTTTGAGCATAGAAAAATGTTTTGAAAGAAGAACACAATAATGATATTTCATGATAAAATTGTCAAATCGATATCTATGCCCATTGAATAGTCCAAATAAAAAAAAGGGTGCGCGTAAGAAGTTATAATTCTTTGGCATTATTAAAATAGTTTTTGATTGCATGCAAATAATTAATTACAATTAAATAATCAAAGACTGGAAAAGGAGTCATTATAGTCAATAAAGTTCAGTTTACATTTGAAATATTAAATAAATAAATATTTATTATTATTTTCTAATATTAATTAGTATTGATTTAAATATTCAATTTAAATCACTTCTGATTATAATTCAGACGCACATATAAAATTCGCACTTGTATAATGAAAACAAAATGAAAACACGTGTTTTAAATGTAGAAACTCAAAGCATGTGGATAAATATTATAAATATAAATACACAGTGAACAGAGACGGCGTGCGTGCCAACATGCGCCACTAACTTCATTCTGTTAATTTTGTGTCACGGTGCGCGCGCATCGTAAAATTTCACTCTCATCAATTTTTCATAAAGCGCCTAAAGAAGTAACTTCAAAAAATGATACCACTAAACTATTTAGTTTACAATTGAATCTCAAGCAACTTTGCTTGCGATTATTTTTGTTCTACACATACCTCTAATAAAGACTTGTCGAAATGCTTATAAGCTTTGTTTCAGGCCATGACTCAAGAGCGACGTCGTTACGGTTTCGTACTGGAACGCCAATGTTCGCTGGCAAAGCATTGGCTTGCGTACCACTCAGCTGGCGCTAATGCGTACAACACAGGCCTCGAGGAATGGCTCGAAGTGTCGAGGACGAGGGAGTACTTGCCCCCGAACGTTGAAGCCATGTTTGTCAGCAGAATGCGAGTGAGTAACATAAAAAATATTACATGAATTATGAAACATCCACGGCGGCGTTGATAATATAATTATTATGTAATTCAAAGTAATATTATTGATGTGTAATTTTAAATGAACTAATACATCAATAGTAAATTGGATTATCTATTGATTTCAAAATTATTAGCTTATAGTATAAAACGGTGTTTTTTACGAAAGGTTTACGAAAGAAAAGAATAGGTGAATATTTTAATACTAAAATTATCTATAAAATATAATATTCATCGAACCATTTTATACGAATGTATATAATCAAGTTTATTAAATAAATCTTTACAAAATATTGACCAACCTTATATTTTCATGTTTGTCGTAAAAGTTTTCGGGTACGAGTATAAAATTACTTTATTGGTTATTGTATGGGTGTTTGAGCTTTATATTTCGCAACAAGTAAGTTGATCGCGGGCTTAAGCATAAACTTTTAATATCAATAAATGTCACCACTACTTATTGAATCTTTAAAACAATATTTGACGCAAACTATTATTATTAGCGATACTCTTTTGCAATAGTATCGATAGGAACATCCGCTGTCAAAATATTAGTAGGGACGTATCGTCCCAAACACCACTAATTTTTTTTCTACAAAATAATGATTAATGGGCTTTTAACTTCTTTAACATCTTTATATAATTTAAAACTATATATATATATATATACATACATACATACATACACATACTATATATTATAATACATCAAATTTAGGAATATCTCCCAAAGTTTCGTTTATTTCACTCTTCATTGCCCATACAACATAATTAAATTTAAGGAATTATGCAACTTCCTTAGACAATGCTAGACGTTTATAAACATATTATTATAATTAGCATAATATCCTTATAGCAAGTGTCATTCTGGGCTGACGAAGACATATACGCAAGTCCTCGTAACGGAGATGACGACGATCGCGCATCAGTTGGCTCGGCTTTGCGCAAGACGCGATCTGTGGACGCTTCATGTCTCGATGTACGCTCCATCGCCGATCTGGGATCACCCAGCCAGGGCATCTCCAGGGCAAAGTCGGATTTAAATTTGCAAGCCAGCTTACTTGAACATGGTAAATTGATTCTCTTTTGTTTTAGTTCAAATTAATTAGAATATTAAAATCACGGTCACGGATTTTGGTAATTTTTGTAATAGTTTTCTAATTAGTTGTAATTGTATTATAAAATTTATTTTTGTTTATTTATTTTAGTATATAAAATACATTGTACAAAGTGCTTTAATTTTAACGGTTCTAAATAAACATCACGACGCGTGGTTATTAAAACAAAAATAACCTTTCTTGTAATTGTAAGTCCCTCCAATACTGTGTTCTCTACATATTTTTACAATACAACTCACAATTTAGATTCTGATATGCGTACGAGCACTCGGCCGACGTCACTCGCTCCACCAACTTGCACTTCTCGGGACCCACCACTGGCAAGGGCCTTGTACGCCTACGCAGCTGCAGGGGACAACCAGCTTAGTTTCCAGCAGGGAGATATATTAGCCCTGCTAGGAGATCGTACTAAGGGCTGGCAGTATGGAGAAAATTTGAGAACACACAGCGCCGGCTGGTTTCCACTGGCTTACACCGAACCGATCATAAGTGAAGAAATTATGTGAGTATAGGTTATTTTTTCTTATAATAAAGTTCACAAAAAAAGAGTGCGATTTTACATGAATTACAATCTAGCCTATACAATAATTATGGCTAATAAGAAATATTATTTTGACCTAATTTTCTACAATAGGTACTATAACTTAAAGTAAGGTAATGTTCATTAACAGTCTTAGTGTTCTATAACATTTTGACACTATGTTCATTGTCCGAATACCGCACTTATATTCACTACACTACACTATTAACTCAAAAGGTTAAGTTCTCTTTAGGCGTCTTATTCCTGTCGTGTCAAGAAGTTGGATTGCTTCAGCATTCACATGGCTATGTACCATGTTTAAGTGAGCTAAGGCAAACCGTTTCGCCGTATTTAGGACTGGATATTAACGCCCGAACCTAATTACCTATCTCAATCCATAATCCACCATCTAAGAGCAATCTTAATCCAAATGGTTGTAACAAGACAATAACCAATCGACGGATTGTAATAGCTATCTGTCGATACAAGCTATCCATGGGAGATCGTATCGGTGTCTCTGGACCTTTGTATGAAAATGACAGTTGACGAAAGCTCGATTTCAACAGTTAATTATTTAAACAGAGTTTACTTACACCAGTTTTTTAAATAATTAAAAAAACTGTTTGTTATGTTTTAATGTTATTTATACGGTTTTAATTACTTTATTTGGTTTACATTGATTATCAAATATGAGTGAAAACTCGGTAAAATGGAACGACAAAGAGCATTTTATCCGTCGCCAAAAATGGATTGTCTTCGTAGGGTTTGGTTATTGGGATGCAGATAGGAGATTGTGGATTGATTATTGGGTTCGGGCGTAAAACTATTTCATTAAGGAAAATTTATCGAATTTTTATATTGAAATTTAAGAGTATAAAATAAGCGAGATGAAGGATACAATAACAATTTTTTTTAAACATATATAAATGTTAAGTGCAGGGTAGTGCTATTCTCGTATTTTAGATGGTAAAAGCACAGAAGACTAGTCACCTACTTACATATAAATAAAAATTCGCAACGCAAAAACTCAAAAGCCGTGTAACGCTCTCTGTAAATACTTTGATAGAAATCATTTACCATAATTTTACGCAGTAGATAAAAAATTAAGAAAACATAAGAAATAGTAATCATGTTTGTCAAAATGAATACTTAATGATAAAATTACAAACCCACTATCAAATCACATATATTCACAATGATTTCAGTAACTCTCCAGCCCGATGGAGCAGTGCGCAGACGCCGAGTGAGACTCCGCCGCCTGCGCCTCTTACTCACACCCAGATGACAACACCTTCTGGACATTCGCATCCACCCACTCGCATGTTTGGGGATACGGTCACTGCGCATCACGTCGCTAAGGTATTCCACGGATAAATACATGTTCTTCAAACTAATCTTAAACATAGTGAAGATATATCAGAAGTAAAATCATTAGTTTTAGTTACATATTCCATTCAATTCAATTTAAAATCATTTATTCATGTAGGTAACACAATGTACACTTATGAACGTCAATAAAATTTAATATGTATAAAATAATACATATTAAATGCTTCTAATTTTACATTTACTGCCAGTTCTCAAATCAAGGGCGTAGAACGGGAGAGAAGAACTGGCAATAAACTCTCCGCCTCTCTATTTAATCGCCAAGTTTTTTGTTTTACAAAATGTTTGCAAGGAGCTGCAACCATTATACCATGTTCCACATGACATCTTTAAGTGTTTAACTATAATAATAATAAAAAAAAACAATGTTTGTCCTCTATCAGCAGTAAGTATGCTGAAATAGGAGCACGCACTTACATTCTCGTGGGAACAACACGCATTATTGCTGACCCAAAAATGTTCTTGAATTTTAATTAGCTGTACGCTGTTCTAAAAAAACCATATCGCCGGAGCATGAAATATATACTAATCTTGTTAGATTAAATAACTAATATTTTCTGTAACCAATTTCACTCTGTCCTGTCATAATTAGATTCAATATCATTCATATATAATCAGTTTAAAAATATAATTATTCCTCTAATACAACAAAATCCCTTTCCTTTAGCAGGGTCGCCTTGCTCCAACATCACCAGGCCTGCCCCCTACATTGCCCGCACCGTCTCCGAATGCTCTCACTACATCAGCTAGTGCCACTTTTCATTCCACACCATCTGGAGCTAGCAGTGCAATCAAGAATTCCACATCCGCCGCTAATTTCACTACACATGCTGTCATAGAGGCGAGAAGTTTTGGACCACAGACTCTACCATTGCGATCGCAGGTAAATAAACCTAATTTTTCAAGAAAAAAAAAGAGCATCACATTCCAGAAACATACTTATATACGTACTCGTACGTTCCATGAGTAGTGGACTTTTATATGTAAGGTCAAATTTGGTCTATATTAATTTGTTTTTCAATGTTTAGATGACTCAAAATAAGGCACCGGCAAAAACTGTGGTGTCAGCAGTTGGGGCTGTCGGTAATGTGTCGTTGCATAGCTCTAACGACTCTGGTTTCTCAAATGAACCGCCTCCGCAGCCTGATATCGACTACAGTGATGAAGAAGCTCAGCGACTTCGGGTTCCAATCAGGTATTTACGATGTCCCTTAAAATATAGTAGATGCTTTTTCCCACACACTCGCTATTTGATTTTATTTATTTTTTGCTAGTTTTTTTACCTTTGTTTTTTTATTTTGTAGTAAGTCTGCTCATCCAAACAACGATAATAGAGCCTATTTGTTAAAAACACAAAGCTTGAAGCGCGGACCTAAACTAAACAACACAAATAACGGCTACTTAACAGATGACCAGCAACTGCTTCTCCGCAACATGTTAGACATGGACAATAATTCACAGAAAATAAAAAGAACGAAGTCGTTTTGGAAGTTTGGACGTACCACTGCTGAAGAAATAATGGAAGGGATGTCGTTGTGGCAGCATCGAGATATCGTTGATACGGTACCAGAGTACAAAAAGAAGCTGTTTGTTAAATTGAAGAAAGAACTTCGGCCAGCTCCAAATATACCAGAAGTACGAAAACAAACAAGTCCAGAGAAACCTGTCCCTACAGAAAACGTACAAAGATCCCAGGAGACAATCGACAGAAAAGACGTTAAAGTTAATGGAATGAGGCAGGCACGAAGCTTGGGGTCTATCCAAGCACAAGAAGAACGAGCCGAAAAACATAAACGAAACAACGACAACTATCAACAACCTCAAATGAACAAAAAGAGCATGTCAGAAAAATCCATTCTGGAGGAGAAACCTGAAGAATTTGTACAAAGAAACGAATCTAGACATTCAGATTTCACTAACACAAGTACGATAAAAACTAATTTTGAGAACAGCTTCTATAACGATGAAAACGGTGACGGCTACGTTATGAAAACTGTTAAGCGACGCGAAATACTACAGAAGTATGATAATGATAGCAGCTCTGAGGTTAATTCTGTTGCTTCTAGTACTGATCCATATGATTGCATCATCGTAGATGACCATATGACATCAAAGAAGCAGCAAGAATTAGATCGCCGCAGACAAGCTCAACTTATGGAAAAGGAAATTAAAACCAATAAAGAGAACGCGTATATGCCTGAGTTCGATGAAATTGAAATTACTCCTGTAAAACCCCACGTGAGAGCAAATTTGACGTCAGAGAAAAATAAAAAACCGTCTCATGACAGATCGTCACCAAAAACTATGGAATTCAAAACCTTCAAAGACAATTCAAAAGAAATTGAATCATTTTCAGCTTCATCTGAAACGCTAAAGTATAAGGATAATGACCATCTTACTGACCGATACGGTGTACCTATTGAAAGAAATAACAATGATATTCGACAAGACGAATCTTATAATGGACACGATGATGGAACTCTAAAATACAAAAAGCATTCAAATGAAGATAAAAGTCGTCAACCAAATAATTTCGATAACATGAAGAATAAAAAGGATTATCCGAAAGCAGAAGCGAGAAATCAAAAGAAAGAATCGAGACAGTTTGAAACCCGAGAACCAAGAATTGACTATTCCTTGGACAGACGTCAAAGTAAAAAAGAAACTCCTGACAAAAACCGCGAAGTTAGATCACGAAGCCGAATAATCCGAAGTTACGATGACAGCTCGTTGCAATACAACGGAAGAAAGGAGGAGCGATATTATGATACCAACATATCCTACTTCAGCGATCAAGAACGTCGTGGTTCGAGATATGATTACGAGACGGATTCCAAAAAAGCAGAAAAATCAAAAATACGCCAAGAGGAAGCGAGACTGGAGGGCAGAAGATTCGTCGACCAAAGAAACGAAAGTCAATACAGCGAGTCAGATGATCAAAAATTTAATGAAGCTTTAAAACAACAAAGACCGCAGTTATTACCCAGAACAAAGTTACTTAAACGCTCAACCGAGGGGCCTGAATTACCTGAAGAAGGTCACACCTTTGGACCGTGGTACGATTTATGGGGTCGAGAAACTGCCATGTACAAGTAATTATAGGCCTATTTAATCTAAGGATACCCTTTAACCATTGTCAAACATTTCACATTGCACGAGTAGTTTACTCATTTAGTTTTGCACTTGCTACTTTATATTTTTTAATCGTTGTAATTCTCTTACCAGTTTGTATATTTTTGTTGTTATTGTTAATTGATAAGTTTTACAATTACATATAAGATTAACAATTATTATGTTAGTTATTAAGAATTAATACATTTATGATATATTTTTAACATGTTAAAGTGAGTATAGTCATTCCGAATTTTAATTATATAAATATAATCTGATTTATTTGTACACAGGCCGCAACAATTTGCAACGGTTAAACTAAGAAAAACATTAACAAACGACCGATCGTCGCCTGCCATTGATTAATGTTTTATATATTTTATTATTATTTTGTTATAAATATTCTATATGTAAATTAGAATCACACGTATTTTGTACAGTTATTCATAGTTTAAGAAAGAATATATCACATTTTTTTACAATAGTATTGAGTTTTATTTTAAATCTATTCTTTAGTTGTTTGAATTCCCGTAAATCCCTGTTAACAAAATATTTTACAATTAACATTGATACAGTTGAACCAAAAGCAATTCAATAAATTTGACACAATGTTGCTAATATGTGGTGTGGATTGTGTAGTGTGGATTTCCTAAAACATGGCAATCAAAAGAGTTTAAACACAAATTTAAAGATAAATATCTTTAAGAAATAGTCTTAATTTTTTGTAAAGTTAAGGTATAACTGATGTTTCTTACAAACCGTAGCAATTCCTATATTGATTACCTTTTAGAATAGCTTCAAACAGTTGGAAATATCGGAAAAACCAAACCGAAAGCTAATTGTTCCACTACTTGCACAAAACCAGGGTAGCCAGAAGAATTATCAATAATAATTATGAATTTTTTGTGATTCTTCAACCTGTTCTTCAACTGTTTCGGCAGGAATCGAACCTAAGACGCCCGAGCTATTTGTTATTATTGATATGATGGTTCATTTTATTTTAAAGCTACGGAGGTAAGCAGAAAAAATACGTAGGAAAAATATTTAAATTATCACTAAAATTGAAAACACGAATTTTTATGATATCGAAAACGTTGATAAAATAGTTCACGAAAACTGACTCAAGAATGAAAGAAAAATCAATGTCAAATTGGTCCCGCGGGACAATGGCTGATGATTTATCACATTTTCCGGGCTTATGGGGTTTCCTTATGGCTCTCACGCCAAGATGTTTCAAGTAAACATTTATTTTGCCAAAGATGTCTAAAAATTACACAAAAGTTTTTCTTTTAACGTAAATCTTTTGGAAGTAATACTATCAAAGATAAATTAGATACACACTCGGCTAGCGTTCCCAATGTTCCAGTTACGCACCTAAGTATTATAATTAGACTTAATTAACACAGCTAGTCATGGGAAAGAGTCTAATCTGGGAGCTACGATTACCACAAAACAAGAGTTATATAGCATTACTATATATTTTCTTCTGTAGTATAAATACAATACATCGTGCATTATACGCAAAATATTGTACAATTAACAACGATACAGTCGAACCAAAAACAATGCAATAAGAGTGTTGCTAATATGTGGTATGTTAATATTGGATTTACTAAAACATGATAATCCAAAGAGTATTTAATCACAGATTTAAAGCCAACAATTTTAACCTTTGTTATACATATAGATAAGGTATAACTGATGTCTCTTACAAACCTAAGGAATTGTCCTATATTGATTAGCTTGTAGAACAATTTCAACTGTTGGAAATATCGGAAAAATCAATCCGGAAGCTAATTGTTTCACTACTTGCACAAAACCAGGATATCCAGAAGATTTATCAATCTCAGTAGCAAAACAAAAATCTAGCTCATGCAATTCGTTCATGTAAATGTACGTTCATGCATTTATGTAAAAGTTCCACAAAGCAAACGGAACACATCGAATTTGGAACAAAACGAAACCAACACTATACTTAGGAAGATTTTGTCAGCGTAATGTAAGCTAAACCTTTGTATTCTAGGCTAAGCCAACAACGCTGTCGAAGGTATGCAAATATAAATAAATATTTTACAATCATCTCATTATCGTCAAACAGAGATCTTACTGAGGTACTCTAAATTAATTATGAATTTCAGAACTTCAATATTTAAACCTCAATTTTTTAAAGACCTTAATGTTTATTTCTGATCAATTCTCCTTGTTCTATCACTAATAACTTTTTAAATTCAAGGCATCGCAAATAAAACCTTGTACGTTATATATAATAACTATGAGAGTCCTGAACTGAATAAGTCCTGACGATAGCACCGTTCCTTGAAACTGTTAAGAACTATAGAGAAGTAAGTATACGCTTTATATTTTGTTATACGCAACCTAACATTTTAGGCGTTCATGCTAAGACACGAATACAACCTGCCTATCTACCTAAAATTGACGTATTACAACCGTACTTAATAACAAGTTCAACTTCTGCTTGTGTTATTCAAAACTCGGATTACCATAAAAATATAACCAAATCGCTTCAACTATGCCTATAAAAATTTTAAGGTTCTTTTGTTTTCTTCATGCGATTTTCCCTTTCAAACAAAAATATTTACCCAAACTGTCTGAGCATCATAAGGATACATAAAAAATACTACTTAAAAACTTGCTTTTTCAATATATGGGTCCTGTTGTAGGTACACGAAATACACGTGCATATAAGCAACGATTTGAGAAATAAGGTTCTATATTAGTATAGCGTGCAAACCGTCTCTATAATGCCCCACTCATCGCGCCGAGCAAAGCAAGGACCGAAGCACAGGAAGTCGACTACGTTTTTCACTCGTCAAAGAAAGGCACGCGTCGTTAGAGCTACACATTGAATATACCTTTAAATATCTACCTTCCAGTTAACTCTTCTTATATGCGGTTACTTAATTCTAGAAACTATAGATACTATAGTTCGATAGTGAAGCTTTCTTAATTTTTTTTATGATTTTTATTTTTTCTTTATAAATTTATAATTTTTTTATTTTGTTGTGTTTGTATTATCTTTATATGTTTTATTTGTATTTTTTAAATTTGTATTTTTGTTTGTGAAACTTATGTTTAGTTAATTGACAATTTTAGGAGGGAAATTTTGTGAAATTTAGTGTGTTGTTTGGCATAAGCGTAAATAAATATATAGTAACATAATTTTAGGTGGGCAATAATTGTGAAAATATAAATGTGATTTTTTATATATTAAAGTCAATACAACAACATCCATCCAATTCGTTACTAAAATAGGTCATAAAAGCTTGTACAAGTTTTTTATTTGAAAACATGAATGTTTTATTATTCGATAAGCCAATGGGACGAAACTAACGGGAAGGTAAAGAATTGCTGGGATCGACATAAAAATCAACTTCACTGCAAATCATGCGGGAGCCAATATTTTCCGAGTCATCGCATTTCTTAAACCCGGCGACCTGGAAAGACCACAATTAAACATGTGATGCAAATATTAATTTAAAAATATATTCGCGTATTTTAATGAAAGAATTTGCCACAGAGCTCCAGAGGAGCTTAAATAAAAGCTTGGAACGACGTGTTTCAGGGTATTAGTGCAAAAATTGCAACTCTTATACACACGAACAAAACTCTGTTGGTCTGCGGTTGCAACTGGACGCTTTTAACGGCGGGGAAACAAAAGTCCGTAGACTGTAATGTTTGCTCCAAAACTCTGAATCTAAATAAAAGTCATTGAGACAAGTGGTAGCGTGTTTTGCCTTAAATTAGGGAATTCTGCGCTTTTCGCCTCTAATGTATTTGTTTAATACCTATTAACTGCGGTTTGGTTGATTAATGAGGTTGGAAATAAGTCTTTTCTTAATATGATCCACTATTAATAATGATTAATTAAATATATTATGAGAATATTTTTATAAAAATATAATATTTTTAAAAAATATATTATAATTATATATTATAAAAATTAAAAAAATATAAAAGTTTTTCAATAAAATCCTATAGATAAATGTTGTAATAAATAAATTTAAATTAATAAAACTGTTGTAAGGTATTATAATATAAATGAATATTTAGATTCTAGTGCTTGATATGAGTTGCTCCGTAAAGGAACGGACTGAATCTTTTTTGCGATCAGTGTAATTGAGTTATATAATAAATGATTTTGAATTGAAGATATTAATAATGATTAATTGGCAATTGAGATTAAAGTTATGATTTGATTTTAAAATTACACCGTTGTTTGCTTTAGAAATAATTAACAAGTAAATATGTTATTAGATTTGAAAATAAAAAGAACGAGAAACAATTGTAGTTTCCACATTAAAGATGTAGTTTATATATATATTATGGATATGTATTTTGTAATAATTTACTACACATAAACAAGACAATTAGTTTGTGTGTGAGAACATGTGTTGCCATATGGATAAGCAGCGGCCTAATCCCTAACAAGTAATCTCTCTCTCAATCTCTCTCTCATGAACATTATGATAAAAAAAAGAAACTATCTATTACTTTACTATTATAGTGACAGAATTAATCAATTACATACAATAAAGACATTTTATATTGAATTAGGAGATTAGTTGAATATTACCTAACCACAGTTCAGCCGCAATTAAATAATTGATTGAGCCCACCATTATGCACACCATTTCCACATAATCCGCGGTCTATTGCAAGCGTTTCATCGGAAACGCTTCGATTATTCATCGAAATCTCTGGCATGCATAAATTTAAAATGTGGGATATTCCTGTGACGTGGTATATTGTGGCTGGGCTAGACGTAATCCAAATGATAAGCGAACGGGCAATTTGGCAGCAGCGACCTCTCTGTATAGCCGATGCCAGCCCGCACAAACCTCTACACGCAATGTTCACTTTGGCGCCTAATTTATGTTAAACACTATTATAAACACGGTAATGTTGCTAATATTAGGCTAGCTCTGAAGACGAAAATGCTACGCCATAGTGTTTGGAACGATTTG